CTTATGTATAGTGTTAGAGGCTTCGCCCTCACAGTGTGTCCTCTGTTTTCTGTCGTTTACTATTTCGTCCTTGATTTCATATCGATTGAGATTATTCTTTCTCTCTTTCTTTTTTCTCGATATGATGCTATTCTTTTCCTCGTACGACATAATCTCTTTCTTTGATTTATATCTTTCGATCACATTATCTTCTCTTTGTTGTATTCGTTTTCTCTCTCGTTGACTCCTGGATGTACGGGATTATATATATGAGTGATTTCCATAGCCATTGTATGGTTGGTTGACGGAGACTGTTTTGTTAATAAGAGATATTCTCGTCAACATATTTTAAATGTCTTTTTATTATTTTGTTGGCTTAGTAACAGTCATTCACTTATGAAAAAATGAGCTTTCCAACTAAAATGAATACTGAGATATACATCGAAGAAGACCGAAAAAATAGCTGTTTTTGGCTCCACAAGGAAAAAGAATCAATGTTTTTCTTTCATCTATTTTAACCTGTTTTAAAAGTTTTCTAGAGTTTCTTGAGCTGGAATAATAGACTTTCAGAATATATGTTTTGAATTTAAAATAAAATAAGGTTTGGATCTGATCTTATCGAAAATCTCGGTTTCAACAAACCTTTACTAAATTTTGTCCACCGAGATTAGAACTAAGTTCATATGCTAACGATGAATGCTAAAATGTTTGAAAACATACAGACAGATGAGCATACCAAGTTCTATACATTTTGACAGAAAAAGGAACTTTTTACCGCTTTTTATTCCACTAGAAATCAAGATGAAACATGTATTAAATACGCTTTTCTGTACAAAATGTCCAGAGAGATTCTTTTGTCTATATTTTGACAAAAGTAATTTCAAATTCGAACTCATCATACATCATTTGATTTGTTAAAACTTGGACTACTCGCCTGTAATCACAAATACTTTGTGAGGTCTATATGTTGCCTTTTTTCTACCATCAACGTCTCAGCAGCTATACTTTTTACGTTTATATCGTGTTCAGAGTTAAGAACTTTCTTTTTCGGATCATTAGATATGAATAAAAACTAGGTTTTGAATTTTAAGTCTAATGTTGCATGCTGCTTTATAACTTTTGATAGGAACAAGATAGAGACCAGCGCTTTTCACCATTCGAAAGAGAAATCTTGCGGGGGGGGGGGGGGGGAGTAGGAGAGTGATAAAATCTGACTGGTCCACATATAACAAGGCA